CTCCAGCACCAGGAGAGGTTTTTCCAATCACCAGAGCACGTTCATACCCCTACCTATAGGTACCGCCTATAGGGACCGGCTATAGGAGTTTTAGGGGGATTTTTGACGGCCTGGAGCTAATTGCAAAGAAAATTAATTAGAAAGAAAGCCCTGGTGATTTCATTTAGGCTCTGAGCTTTGCAGGGTCCTTCCCACCCTGAGAAACGGTTTTGGCATCAGAGGGGCTGTCAGAGTCAGCACGAGCTGATGGAGGGACGGACAGAAGAACGGATGGATGAACAGATGGACAGACAGAGGAACAGGAGCAGCAAAGAAGGGGCTGGGGGCCGGGGTCGGTGCAGACTCCCCCTCCCACCGAGCTGGGTGATCCCAGGGGATCAGCCCCGGCAGGAAATGTCCCATCCTGCTCACACGCCGCGGCCGCAGCTCCGGGCTGGGGGATGAAGAAACCAACCTCGGGCAGACAATAAACCCCGCGGGGCATAAATCAGCGCCCGGGGCCGGCGGGACGTGCCGCTGCTGCTCATGCCCAGGGAAATGAGAGAGGAGACCGGCTGAGCTCCCTCAGCCCCTTCTGCCAGGGGCCGGGCTGGGCACAGGGGTTTGCAAACCAGACCACTGTGCAGAGCTCTGCCCAGAGCCAGGGGCTCAGCTTCCCTTCTCCTCCCATCTTGGCTGAGCACCTGCACAGCTCAGTGCACGAATGGAAGGGGGGATGGTTTTGGGGCTGCCTGGCTTGGCTGCGTTTGTTCAGCTCTAATCTGACAGCACCAGGTTTACAAGACAGAGCAAAACCTCACAGCACCTCACTCCTTGTGGGATGTGTGCCCTTGCCCAGACCCCATCAGCTCCTGCCAGCTACCTTGGGAATTTAAGCCAAGGAGGCAAGTGTGGTGGGGGTTCCCCAGCCTCTGGTTGGCACCCAGACGGTGCGAGGGCCCTACAAAAGGAGCAGGAGGAGCTGCAGCATATGTGTGCTTGCCTTTTCACAGCCCACCAGTGAGGCCCTGCTGCCTTGGAGCTTGCCAGGCAGCATTACTCACTGCCTTCTGCAGGGGTTCTCCCCATGAGCTGGTTTCTCCCCCTCTGAAGCCCCAGGTACGGAGCCAGGGGTGTCCTATAAAAGCCACCACACTCAGAGGAGCTTCTTGGCTCCCAGATGCACCTGGTGTTCACTGAGCCATGGGGAGATGCTGCAACCAAACCCCTCATGGCAAATAACAAGCCTCTGACTTTTACTGTCCTGTCTAAAATTACATGAGCCGCTTGGTAGGGATTTTAAAACCACACAGCCCCTAAAATCCCCATTTTGGGGGACAAGGAGGTTCCCTCTCTGCTGTTTCTGTTATGGGTGCAACAAGGCCATGCTGGGGTATCCAAAGATACTTTTATGGCTTAGATGGCTGTGGGGGACCACAGGGAGATGAACCCATGAGGAAAAAACTTCCAGAGTGCTTCCCAAGGGCAGTGTTAGACCCAAATGACATTGTCCACCCTCCTTAGTGCTGTTGGAGCATGGGCAGGATGAACCACCTCCTGTCTGATGGGGCCACGGGGGGGCAACCTGTAAGCTGGGCTCTCCCTGAGTTTTGCTGGGCTCTTCAATTTTTTAAGCTGGCCCTGAATAATTCAGCTCTGCTGTAGTTGGCTCAAGGTTGGTGAGCTTGGATGCTCCTTGAGTTTCTGCTTGACCCACTTTAGCAGCTGAGGAAACCTGCCAGGCATGATGCTCTGAGGGGCAAAGCTGGCACAGACACCCCTCCACATACACAGCCCCATCCCAGGGTCTCCCCCTACACCCCCACACCACAACAATACAACCCACAGACCACCTCTCACCCACACCACAGCTTTCCAGAGGGATTTTTGCCTCGGCCCCACGGCTCCTGGCACAAGCACGAACATCCCAGCAGCATTTCCCAGATTACGAGGAGGGATTTGCTCAGCTCCATGAACCAGCACACACCCTGTGGCTGCCTCACCACAGCTCCTTGCTATTCAGAACCTCACCTCACTCTCCTGGAGCCCTGGTCGAGCACTGATTAATCCCAATGGGTGGAATAAGACACTGCTGATTCCTTTGGCTTGGAGATGTCAGGTGAGGCCAGTCCAGAAACTGTGTATTGCTGTTTTTTTGTTTTTTTTTTTTCTCTTGACCTTCCAGCAGAGTCAGATTTTAACAGTCATCACTGTTACAGACATGAGAAGAAGGAGAGAGTTTTCAGGTGTCTGCATCCCACCACACTGTCAGAAACATCAAGCATTAAATCCTTGGGCAAGGTGGGAAGTGGCTGTCCCTGCTGTCCCCATCCCTGTTAGCAAAGCCAGGAGCCATCCCTTGGTTAAGGAGCACCAAAACCTGACTCCTTACCCAAACTGTGCTCACCCTACCAGCCTGCCCTGGGCTTTCCATGTCCCCTCTGTGTGAGGTGGGGTGGGTGACACCACACCTGAGATTGCTGAGAGGAGGGGACCAGGCAAAGGGATGAAACACCTGAACTCTCCCCTCCCTTCATCCCCACACTCAGTGCTCCTGGGAGCACTGCATATCCATCTCTTCCACTTCACAAGAAGATGAGGCCCTTCCCCAGCCTGCAATTCCCTCTTGGGAATCTAAATAACATTTCATCCTTTGCATCCTTCCCCAGGATCTGCTCCCAGCACTGGCTGAACTCTCTGTGCTGGCACCGGGAACACCCTCGGCAGTGCTGGCTTTGGACAGAGAGGGTGGGGATTAACCAGGGATGTTGTCACTTGGCTGG